TTGCACAACCCGGACAAAGCCGTGTATCCCTTGCAACCGAAACTGACGATCCACAGCCTGGATCGCACCAGGCCCATTCACCGGTACAATCTGTCATTCCGCATTGCTCGCTGACATCGGCACACCCCGTGCGCGCGCGTCGATGCGCCGCAACTGTATTGCATGTAACAATGTACATTTGGTTTCTGCATTTTGAAGTATGGATTCTTAATTTTTTATTTACACCTGCTCCGTCACTCCTATCCTTTTTTCTAGGAAGTTTCTCATCTTCACCTTATATACCTTGAATTTCCACACACCTGCCTCACCATTCCTTCCTCTCAGAAGATCAACCTCCACGTGATGTTTCTTGAACGTTCTTCCCAACATCTCTGTTATCTACTGTCAGCCTTATTCTCACACAGCCACTGACCTTTCTTGCTCGCGGCGTGTGAACTACTATGAAGCGACGATGAACAAGAATCTGTGCCAAACCCCGAATCACACCCAGGAATGGGTGAATGGCTGGACCTTACCGCCTTCACCCGAATAGAACGCCAGGTCATTATCGGCATCCGATATCAACGAAATACGCCTTACACTTAAAGGTGCACAAAATGTGGCTATAATGACCGGGCGATCTATTGGGGTGAAGACGGTAGTACTACAGGAGATGTCTGTCCATGATGGTTGTATGCAGGCTTGAGGTGGAGATAGAGAGAGTGACAAATGCCAACACAAACATAAACACATGGAATGTGTATCTTTAGGTGTGTGTGCGTAGTGATGTTTGTGGACATATATTTGTCCATCCTTTAGATGGGTTTCGAAGGGGATTGCAGTGCTTGTGTAATTGTGTTTCTCAACTCTCATTGCACTCTTTTTTGCTGTGTATTGATTCACTCTTCTTTGCTGTTGCCTGCGGTGGGCACTTTCTTTGGTGCAGCCTTCAGCAGACAGTGAGACTGCTGCAAGACACACAAAAAGGGGTAGCGTCATCCAGGAAGGGGCTTAAGGTAATGACCAGGCAAAGAGTCCCCTCTTGTTCTGCTGACGTCTGGCAAGAATCGTTATCTGGCAGTTTATAGTTGTTTTACAAATTTTTTACCCATAGTTGCGTGAAGTTTCGTACATACCCTTCACGATGACCAATGAACCTTTGACTTCGTGTTGTTTTGCTGCTGGCTGGCTGGACGGGTCACGGATGGTTATTGTTTGGCACATGATGTAATGGCCCATGGCCCATGATTCATTAATACTCATTATGGATGTGGATATAATGTTGTACTTAGGATTGACTTGAAGTTCTAATCTTGCATTGGGTCTTTGGAATGCTGTTGCGTAGTTGAATGCTGTTTTCCTTGCATCACGTTCCCCCATTCAATGTGGGAAAGCCGATTCACATTCATGAATCATAATTGATCTGTAATCGACCTCCAATGGATCTGTAATGGATCTTTTCCATGCAGGATATGGGTCTTTGGAATGTTGTTAAGTCGTTGAATGTTGTTTTCCTTGCATCCCGTTCTCGCATTCGATGTGGGAAAACCGATTGACATTCATGCATCATAATCGATCTGTAATCGACCTCTAATGGATCTTCAATGGATCTTTCCATGCAGGATATTGTTCCAGATAACGAGTTTGAGAAGCTGCTTCTAGCAGAAGTCATTCCGCCGTACGAGATTGGCGTGAATTTTGAGCATATTGGAGCTTTAGAGAACGTGAAGGAGACATTGAGAGAACTTGTGATGCTGCCCCTTCAGAGGCCCGAGCTGTTCGCCAAGGGCCAGTTGACGAAGGTAAGCAGTACTAAGCACGTACTCTCCATATTCACTGGCCTCTCTATTCACAATCAAGTGTTGTCTTCTGAACGACACACTTTTCTGTGCAGATCTTGCTTCCCTGCTTCTTCCACGTCGCCTTGTTCCCCTCCCCGGCCCCACCTACATTCCCTCCTCCCCCTCCCCCCCTACGCGGCCCCCCCCACGCGACTGCGTAGTCATGATCTTGGTGGGGCCGTGCGCCCCCCACCTTTGGGAACAGAGAGGCCACTTCCCGCCCCCTCCCCCCCCCCCCCCCCCCCCCCCCCCCAATCCTCTGAAGGACTAAGTAAATGGTGTTTTTCTAATTAATGCCGGGCAAAGAGATTAAAGAAGCTGGCTGCATCGACTTACTTTCTGCAGCTGGTGTCTGGGCTGGCAGTACTCCAGCTTCTCAGTCCTTGTTGCAATTGATTGATCATCCCATTGGTCAACTACCGTCTTCCCGTGAGCAGAACGTACGGTCAGTATAGCTGTATTTATAGTAAGTTCCTGTCTAGATGCAGTGAAAATGAACATACGTTTTATTCAGGGGAAGACCGTGGTTGCACATTGTGGCATATCCATCACTGTGAGTAGACTCAATGGTAATCAATGGTGATTATGATTAACCTAGAGACGACTCAGACGAGGTGTATAAGTCTCAGAGAGCTGAGCACAGGGGGTTGACATCCGAATCAAAATCGAGAGCATGTGTTCGGGTAAGTTTAGACATCTAGCGCTGTGACTATGGCCATCTCTACTGCACTGGCTTTAAAGTTTAAAGGGTTACCAATGGTCCGGAGACCGGGGGCGTCTCCCCCGAATGTCTCCCCCATATTACTATATTGCTTGGACCAGCACATGTGGGTCCACAGGTTTGTCTGTTTGGAGTGGTCTTGCTCAAGTGCTAGGACTGGTATTTGATGCCAGGCCCTGTAGAGTAGTTGACTGTGCTGGGATTGGAACACAGGGCCTGAGTTTTAACAGTCAAGTGCAGTCTTGTAGTAGCTTAGACCATGCAGGTAACTGTTGGAAATATAACTTTCAGTTATTATTTAAGGCTGGCAGACGCCTGTTTCTTTGCAGACCTATGCAGCTAGAAGGTAAGGGAGAGTACTGGATTCCATCTTTTTGCATGTAACTTTCAGTTATTATTTCAGGCTGGCAGACACCTGTTTCTTTGCAGATCTATGCAGCTAGAAGTTAAGAGAGAGTACTGGATTCCATCTTTTTGCATGTGGTTGGTGTCGCGGATGAACTGGGGGCCAGTCATCCGTGGATATATCTGAAAAGTTTGTGAAAAGTCAAAAAATGAGTAGTGAATGTAGTGATTGAGCTAAATACGATGCGGTTTACTTCATAGAGGTACGGAAAAATGAATTGAATATAATATTATATACATTATAATATATAGCTCTTTTATTAAACAAAAAAGAGGGAGAAGAGAAAAAAGAAAGAAAGAATGGAGAAGCTTTTTTTGACTGTTCGCCGTTTGAGGCGGATCATAGCGGCTCAGATCTCGGAGACTACGAAGTTACAAACGGAATTGCAGTTTTTCTGATGTTTGCCTGATTTTTGCACGTTGTCGAGTGCGGCTGGGCGCCCTGGTGGGCATATTCTTTTGAACAAGTTTCCTCGTGTGTTTTATGTGGAAGAGGCAAATGGAACAAAATCGCTGAATTGCGAAGGGCCGGTCAGTTTCACAATGATATCTCAAGGCTGTCGCGCTAAAAAAAGGGGAAGAAAAAAGAGCGATGAGCGTTCCATCGAGTGTGATGGGGGGTGAGTGATTGGAGTTTAAAAGTAAGGTCTAATGACTCTAAACTTAACGATTCCCCGGTGCGAGGATCGCATCATCACACACACTGTTGACGAATTAGTTGCTGATAGATTGTGATGATACTGTATCATTTCTTCGGGTCTTAAACTTTGCAGCCTTGCAGAGGGTTACTACTCTTTGGCCCGCCGGGGACGGGGAAGACTATGCTTGCAAAGGCTGTGGCAACGGAGGCTGGCGCAAATTTCATCAATATTTCTATGTCGACCATCGCTTCAAAGGTGTGTATAATACTATTAATACACTATGTATATGGTTTTTTATTTTTTTTTATTTTATTGTGCATGTGCCATGGTCATCTTCTCTGTATTGTTTCAATTTTAACGGATGTCCCGAAGTGCGAAGGTGTGCATATGAACCGCATCAGTGTTTCCAACTTTACCACCACTCGTCCGACTGTCTTCCTCATGTGTGTGTTCTTGCAGTCTGTGTTTCATGATAACTTTCATCATTCCTTGTCGACTCGGGGGCATGGTAAAAAAAAAGGAAAAAACAGAGAATAGCAACCAAAGCGCACTTCGGTCGAGTTGGGTGAACACACGAGCCGATGGTTCACGTGCCAATCACACTCCTTAAACCACCCGTACACTCGGGCCAGGCAGCACCACACTGTGCGCCAAGCTTTGTCAAACTCCCTGCGGGGCACTTTTGTTCTCTTTTGGCTGGCAACGCCACCCGCCAAGCGTCCGAAATTTTTGGGATGAGCCATATGAAGAAATCTTGCAAGGCTGGTACCATGTATTGGCTGTTTAAAGATAATGAAAAAGGCGATTACTAGTACACAAGGAGTCATCGACTGCCTGACAATGTACTGCTGTACCAGTAATCACCTTTTTCGTCTGGTCCGAGTCCATCTTACAAATGAAAATAGGTGGGGTACTGTACCCAGCCTGTGCGGCTGTTTGTGCGCGCAAGCAACTGTCAGTAGATGGTGCACACATGGAACTGTCAGTAGACAGAGCATGAGTTTGAATCCTTATGGAATCAGATGAACACAGTAAAGTTATGGGCTGCTACTCCTTTTTGGTGGTCCTATAGTATGTAGCTAGGCCCCTCGTTTGTTGTCCTCTTCTCTCTCTCTGCCTACGGTTTACCGGGCAGTTCTGTTTGTGACGATATATGGCTTGTGATGGGGTGTGAACCGACAGTCTGTAGAGTTTTCCATCTGGTGTGGGTGAGTGATAGTCTACTTTGA